GTTAATAAATCCAATCAGCCGAACTAGAACCCGTCATTCTCGTCACGCGTACCACCCAACACGTGACAATATGTATGCCAGGAACTTCTAGTCCAAAATTTGTCAAACTTTATGAGAAATTAATTATAACGTCACACTTCGTGTGGAGTTCTCTCATTTGACCACTCTGCTACTTACTGTGTGCCCCATTCGCAGCATATTCAATCAGTTTAGTGACAGCACAGGAGGAAACCTTTCAATTTCATCCCTTTCTTAAGAAAGAACACCCTTTTCTCTCTTCTTCGTTTAAACCAGCAATTTCCTTCCCATATCCCGCCATCTTCCAAACTATCTTTTCACCTCCAAGCTAATCTATAAAGTTGCATGTAGCGCGGAATTGGATTTCCCAATCTTCTCTTAAACCTTTCAGCTTCACCCCACATCCTCCGGTTCAACCCTCTAACCACACAGCCATTAAACCGCCTCGTCCTTAAAACAAAAAGAGAAATGCAACATTTGGCTGCCTGGCCCTCTTCTTACTATTTTAATATAATAACTTTAATCTTACCAAATATTCGGTAAACTGCCAAGTACATGTTAGATTTACCACCTCTAGATTACTTCCCCTGTTTTGAAAAAATAAAAGTAGGCTAATGAAATCACCATGCTGTCTGTGTGTCTATGTATCCCTCACATTAACTTCTGAATTCCTGAACCCATCTTTATGAAACTTGGTATATCATGGCAACTGAACCCATGTCAATGGCATACTTTATAAGTTCCGCCCATCAGTCTGTGTGTCTGTATGCGTATCCCCTGGCCTATTAGGCAACGGCTCAGTAAAAACGTTACGCTTCGACGAATTCACAAGCAACATTAGAACTGGTGGATGCGTCGTTTTCTATGATATCCGAGTTGCATCAAAGGAACGTAGGATATTAGTTCTTTGCAGAATTTCTTGTTACTGCAACAAAACAAAATGAACCTTACGTGTCACCAATTGCCTACAGCAGAACGATCAGTTTTGGGCAGTTACAGTTGTGGACTCTCTTATCTCTCGTTTCAGCTCAGTTCAACGTGCACGGCAACAACCGGCGTTTCAAGGCTTTGCGATAGGCTGTATAGGATCTGGTCTTTTTACACGGTACTTACATCGACATTTGACTTTATGGACTGAGAAGGAGAACCAAAGCCCTCACGCAGCATAGGCGGTATCACGACCAAAATTCGAACCAATTACCTCCCGAATAAAGTCTAGAGCGTCACTGATACATAATTGCAGCAGCGAAAGTTAACGTATTGGGTCTACTTTCAAATATACGTTTTCAGTTGTTAATTTCTTGTTTGAATATCACCGATTATTTTATAATATCAAACCGTCCATTATTGTGTGGACAATATGTTTGGCACCTAATTAATTCTATATATTACAAATACAGTATGTTTATTCATTCAATCATTCATTCATCAATGGTTCTGCAGTCCTTTGTTGGGCCTTGGCCTCTTTTTCAGTTCGTAATCATTTTTACGCAGTCGGTACGACTCCTTGGAAGGGGGATCAGCCCGTCGCAAGGCCCCTATATACATACAGAACAACACAAACACAGGATAAACGCACACAGACATCCATGCCTTGAGTGGGATTCGAATCCATGATCCCAGCTTTCGAGCGAGGGAAGACAATTCATGCCTCAGACAGCATAGCCGCTGTGGTCGCAACAGTATGTGTAGTCATTCGTCTTTATCTTCAGTGAGAACTGAAAGGGACATCTTGACAGCAGCAACTGTCGTCAGCATTATATAACGTAAAACATTTACAAGGTGACCACGTATCTACACGTATGTTCACGTTTAAAGGTTATTTGACAGCGCTCTGAGTATAGCGTCAGTGAATGATGAACTGGAAAGGAATTGGAAGCAATTGATGGTGGCCTGTTCAAGGTACGATGATGGCATTTGCCTGGAGGGACTGAGGAAACCCAAGAAGAGACTCTGGATAGCCGGTGTCCTGACCAAGATCCAGACCGAGTAAAATCATAAAGATATGCCGCTGAATCCGATACTAACTTCGATACAGAGAATTGGAAACTTTCCGAATACCGCTGTACCATTCCATTAGAGCCAATGTCTCGTTTACTTACTCACCTGTGTTTAGTTATGAGCTAACAAGCTCATAACTTAAATGTTCAGACTCGCCATTAGAATAACATATAACATATATCTCCTGTTCATCGGGTACCGGTGGCTATTTCCCCAGGCGCAAAGCAGCCGGGCGGTGAATCTGACCATGCACCTATATCTAGTGCCAAGGTTAAGAATCCATGGAGCTAAGGTCCATTTTCAGTTGTGTTCACGAGAACCATTCATTCGTGCGCACTGAGGATCTTGCATTCTATAGAGCTTAGAAAAACAAAAACCGACTACTACGTATATGCCTGTATGTTATAGATCCTGAGATAATTAATTTTTAATTGAAGATGATTTGTATTTTTTATTTTACTTACAATTATGCTCCTTTATACTAACATTATTAGGACCAACGTCGTAACTTTAAACATTCACGATTAGATTATTTAAATCGTTTTGTATCAATTATAATAATGGCTTAGAAGTGGAATTATGACGTGTTATAACCTGTCTCATATCCAGAATATTCAATTTAATAATAAAGAGTTGGAACAGGTTTCTCTGTGGCCGTCGGGGTCTAAGAGAGAATAAAAATTTTATTTTTAAGACAAAAGTACAATAAAAAAAAACATACTGAGACGTGTGACATAAAGCTCAAATTTATTATCATGTACCCATACTGGGACCGCCTCTGTGGTACAGTGGTCAGAGTTCTTGGCTACAGATCCAGAGGTTCGGGTTAGATTCCCGGCGCTACCAGATTTTCTAAGTAGTGGGTGTGGAACGGGGTCCACTCAGCTTCGTGAGGATAATTGAGGAGCTACTTGAATGGAAAAGTAGCGGCTCCGGTCTAGAAAACCGAGATTAACGGTCGTGGGGATTCGTTGCACTGACCACGCGACACCCTCTATCCGCTAAAGTTGGCACTAACTTCGCCGACAAGCGGCGGTCGCTCGGTCAGTATAGTTCGCTTGCGGACTAAAACCACGTATTTTTTTTGTACCCATACTGGTACTTAAGATGCCCTGCGTGTTTACAAAAACAATTCGGTTTTGCAACGCTGAATACGTACGAATGACACAGCATTAGCATAGAGATAAGCATAAGAACAGCCGCGTTTAATATAATTTGAATTCCGAAAAAGTAACTACGCTTTCAGGGGCTATGGTAAAGTAATTAGAGAGGGAAAGATAAATGAAAACTAATTAGTCTTATTAGATACTGCTATAATTCCTCAGTTAGAAACTACAATAAGGGAAGATCTGCTTATGGGGGAAGGGCAGGTTGGTGGTGGAGGTTTTATATATATCAAAAAGTAACTCCATTCACCCAGCCTTCTCACACCCTTAACCAAATTCTCTGAAGTTTCACTGCAATTTAATGCTTCCTTTAATTCTCATTTCTTGTTTCATCTTATAACCACCCCCAGCCTGCCCACCCCCTTCATTCTCTTGATTCTAATCCCTCTTCCTATACCTCATCCGTAGTTCCCTTGCACAGTCCCGTATCACGCCTTCCATTTCCTCACATTGTGTCTTTGGCGTTGCTTATCTGAACCCTCACTAATGCATCCCTTAAACATGAGACTGTTCACAGGCAGGGAAATGCTGGATGAATGTTAAACATTTTCATCTAACCCGTGCCGTGAAATGAGTAAGCGAATCTTTGTGTTACTGCCCCTCAAATATATCAGTATTTTGCCCATTAACATTCTTTAGTTATATAAGTACAGTTATAAAGTGGCACTGAATAAGACTGGTTAGCTCAGTCGGTATAGCGATTGACAAGAGTCCGAAGGGCCGGGGTTCAATTCCTCGCGAGGGCAAAAGATATTTTCTTCTTCACAGTGCCCGGACTGCCTCCAAGGCCCACCCAGCACCCTATCCAATGGGTACCGGGGGGTCTTTCTCCGCGGGTAAAGAGGGCAAGGGGTGAAGCTGACTGCTCACCACCATCACTGCAGAGGTTAAGAATGGTAGAGCTATACCTCCACTCCCCCATACGTCTTCATGGCTTTCTGCTTAATTATATACAGAGTTAACTTTACTCATTATGCCTATCAAAAGACTAATGAATATTAATAGGGTACAGGATTTAGACGAAATTAAATTTAAAATTTCCAACCAGATATTCAGAGGTTTTGCTCCTGTCCCTTCCTTTAACCTTTATAACGTGGCCATAAGGCGCTATTTCACAAATATCTGGTTTTCAATTTCAAATTAATTCATGTATTATCAAGAGCAAGAATTCCATATACCTATGACGTACACAGGACCACACGTAAGTGTATCCGTTCCACGAAGCATCTGCATGAAAGATTGCTTCTTGGATAAGGGCATAGGCCTAAAAACGTACAAAATTGCGGAGTCGATTTGCAACGGAAATTTGTTTAAACAACGTGATACTATTTCCGCTTCTCTGTGTTACACTGAACTGACCTTCACTCCTACTCGACACTGTTATCTGGTTGCTTGTAGGCCATGTACACGTTGCATTTCTTACGAAGAGCCAAGTCTTTTTATGTGGCTATTCGCTAACACCCAAAGACATTTTAGACACAGGATATTTAACACTTTCCACCCTCTATCCGTTACGTTGCATATGCAGCCCGTCCAGTGCATGAACTTGAAGCTACATTCTTCCGTCTCCCTTCATCTTTCCAACCCTCCAACCCCTTCAATCTTTCTACCCTCCAAAACTTCGTCTTCTTATAATCCAATGAAACATAAATTCTAGTCTTCCTTATCCAATAAAACATTGTCACCCCTCAACCCCCTTCCTCAAGGGTCTGTGCATTTTCTTCATGAGGGGTTCTAGAACAAGGAAATGGGCGTCGATTCGCAACGGTCTCCTTTTATCCTATTAAGATTAACATTAATTACTCCCGTTTCCAGGTTGAGCCTTCGTTACGGACAAATGGAAAAGAAAAAAGGGACAGATTTAAACCACAGTGCATAGATTTCCAACCTGACAACGTAACATAAGGTCATTCAAGACTTCAGGTGACTTCACAAAAAAAAATGCCAGTTACTTACTCACTCATGGAGCTGAGTCCTTCATGAGAAGCCTAAAATTGTGCAGCTACTGAAGAACTTGCCAGCATTTTATGGAACCCGATTCATTATCGTGTTCACAAGAGAACTCCACTGATCCATATCCTAAGCCATTTCAATCCAATCCATACCATCCAATTCTGTCTAATATCCACGTTAATATTGTGCACCCACCTACGTCTTGGTCTTCCTAGTGGTTCTTTCTTTCTGGCTTTCCCACCAATATCCTACATGCATTCCTCTTCTCCCCTATTCGTGTTACATGCCTGCCCATCTTATCCTCCTTGACTTGATCATTCTAAATATTTTTGGACAAGACTGCAAGTTATGAAGCTCCTCATTATGTAATTTTCTCCAACCTCTCATCACTTCATCTCTCTTCGGTCCAAGTATTCTCAGCACACTGTTCTCAAACACCCTCAGTCTATGTTCCTCCGTTAATGTCAGAGACCAAGTTTCACACCCATACAGAACCACAGGCAAAACTATATGTAGTTTTGTATATATAGTTTTTGTTTTTAGGCACTAGATGAGAAGACTGAAAGGTAGTATGTCAGTTACTATCTTTAAAAAATTACACATTTACTCTGTAACTGTACACGCACGGAAAATGTCCTACATACGAGCGCCTACCTCTCTCAGCACAGGATTCTCGTTGTGGTACGTTCAATATGTGAAGCTTCAAAGACGCTACAAAGAAATCCTCAACAAGATGAACAGAAACTTCACGGACTTGTGTGTGTAATTATTTCACTTGCTTATCGACAGAATTCTTCGTTTTTTTTTAACTTCATAACAATAATGAAAATAAATACGTGATTCAGAATAAATGTACAGACATTATTTTAAAATGATTTACAATTATGAAGCTAGCTACATCAATTTTCAAAATCGTGGTAAACAATGTTTGACGCGTTCTGCCTTCTGGGATATAATGACGTGCAGTCCGGTGAAAATAAACTGGCTGTTCGGAGGAGCAGGTCGCCTCCATCTTCAAGGTGGAAATATATGTCAAATAACATACCTGCATGAACCTGACCTGCTACCTGTTTCATGTTGGTTTCTTGCTTAAGGTGTAGGAGGTATATTCCTCTGAACGCACTTTCAACGAATTACACGATACCAGAATAGACGTAGCTCTTCATACCACCCCTGTGAGAACCTCAGATCCTGCGAGTGTCTTTAAGCTACGAATTAAATTAAGTAAAGTAAAACTGACTGTTTGGATATTATCCATGTCCTGTTTCTTAACTTAAAACAATACTACGAGGGGAAAAGTACTTTCTGAGAACAATTATTGATACAGTTGATTTTATGGAAATTATCCACCGTCCCAGGTTTTTTATAAAAATTTCGGAGACTGGAATGTGTCTCCGTCATTAGGTAGAAAGCCAACACAGTTTGGCCCAATAGATAAAGTCCCTGTCTCCGGACAACAGAACCAACTCGAGACAGGATGTATAAAATAAAATAATTCTAAAGACCGTGCAGTAATTTATTTTAAAAGAATGCGCTCAAATTATGAGTCTATAAATTACTGAGTAAAGGTTAGTTTAAAAGAGGATAATTTATAGGCGCAACAAACTAAGGACATGGATTCTGCTTCAGGGGATCGCAGTTTTCATGAAAAAATGAAGTTCATTTCTTTGCAACACTTGTTAATTTTGACAAAGCTGTTGAACATGCTTAACACTTTGTAGAATTTTACAGTGAAGTTACGTTCCGTGACTCCGGGACTCGAACTCCGACCCCTTGGTCGTCCAGCCTTTAGCAAGTCGCTAAACCGACTACGCTATCCCGTTTGTTTAATATTGTCGTGTGTTGCCTATGTAACGCGACAAATAAATTCACGTAGGTCTCGGATTTAGCGAACAAGTTTTTTGGCCAATCTCCTCCACACTTCCAAGTACAATTATCATCCACTTATAACATCGTCAGATGTTTCTTACAACACTGTTATAGTTACTTCTTGCACCGCTAATCTCGCTGAAGTCTTCTGGTCCCCCGGAGCTGCCTGAAGACTGGCTACTCTCCTGAGGTCAGCTACAATGTGCAAACTGCTACAAACTGCCAATTGCAGTGGAGGTATTCGACCCAGCCTTCACACGGGGTTGCACTCGTCTTCAAGTCGTCTTGTTGAAGCTGGAGTCTTATACAGGGTGATTCACGAAGTTCTACCCCGGCTTATGATACATATTCCTGGGGTTATTTCTTGCAAAATTTCCTTATAAACTTCTGGTCGATTTTCAATAGTTAGGGAGTAACAACAGATTTTCGAAACGCATCATTGTGAATGCAGCGCTATGCTTCAGCGTGGGCGACCATACGTTCCGGTCAGCAATGTCAGCAGATAAGGTAGACCGGTTTGAATGTTGCGCGTAGGTAGATAGGCAGAGCGGTTCATACGCGTGCGACACATTGTGTTGACGTGCAGGGAGACATTATTGAAAATCTTATGTAAATCCAGTCGTCTTCTAAAGCACTACAGTTTAAAGGAAACAGATTGATAGAAGGGTGTGATATGCAACCAGTGGTATGTTTACAGAATGGGATGCTGAAAATAATGTAATTTTGTAACACAAAATCGATGAAAAATGTTGCACAATGCAAAATTAAGAAATTGAAAAAAAAAGGTTTTAGAATGCCTCTTTCCTAAAACATTAACGATTTAAAAAGTGTTTGCCTTGTATTTATAATTTGTTTTGACTGAAATTCAAAGAAAAAAAGATTTTCGCCAGTTTTCATATTACTGTATCTCTTTAATTATGAGTTGGATACAATTAGTATATGAACTTTTTTGTTCCAAATTACCTCAGGAACGCCCTCCCTAAGCGGGGGTAAAACTTCGTGAATCACTCTGTATAACCTCCTTTCGGACGGAATTGAGCGCACCATGTAGGAGCCTTGGTCTCGGCTGCTGTTATGCAACGAAACTTTTGTTGTCCTTTCATCTCCGGGCAAACGCGTTTGTTGCCTAAGGTATTCCTATGCAACGGCCCGCAGGTATTGCGTTTCCATGGAAATATACCTTCCGGGTTCCTGGCGGCACGCGACAATATAAATGTTCTGCGAATTTTGTGAGGTGAGGTGAGACGCGGTAACGTGGTCCGAGAGATGACGAGGAGCAGATCTCTTCCGGTGCTGAATTCATTTCAAATAGCACATGCAGACACTGCATGGCCTTGTTTGGATTACAAACCTCACGCGGGTTTCATAGAAACTAAGAGATACTAATATGAGAATAGTTCTCTAACCTACATGGAATGTTTGCAGAACATGATATACCATATGCTTATTTTCGTTATTAAGTAACCAAATCCAAGAGGAAGGAAACTAAAGAGAAATTTTGTATGGAAACCAAAAGTTCAATGCGTTTTACACTGCATAGTGTACTGAAGCATTTGAATCTTTGCAACAACACTGCATCATGATTGTCTGATGCACATTTTAAAGTCGTCTCCCACCTACCCAGGAGCCTCCAAAATGGACTCCTGCTTTCAGGACTTCCGGGTGAAATTTTATGCATATTCCTCACCTCCCTTAACCTGCTAAACTTTCCGTATAGCTTAGCCTCCTTGGTGAAAACATCTGATGCAACATACAGGTTATGAAGCTTCTCATTACGTTATTTCATGAAACTCGACATGAATTTAAAAACCCACAATACAAGTAAACGTGTGAGATTTGAGAATATGACAGCGATAACTATTAAAAGTAGGCCTACTGTCTTCTGGAATGCAACGCCATGTGCTCTCGTAGAAACTTACTGACGTTTCGGGCGAACGTACTGTGTCCATCTTCAAGGTAAAAGAGTGAGCGTTGTTAGTTGTTTGCTCGGCATACTCACCGACCTTAAGGATGGGGACAGTACGTCTGGCCTAAATGGCGGGAAATACATCTACTAGACCACACGGTGTCACATCTCAAAAGATAGTAACCTGCTACATCGTATAGTACAGTGTTCCGCAACCGGTGTGCCGCGGCACACTGGTGTGCCGTCACAAGGTGAAAGGTGTGACGCGAACTTTTACCCATTTTAAGAAATTAATTGTCGAATTTTGCTCTTTTTATTTTATCCCAGTTACCGTGTTTCATATGCTTGTATTTATTTTCAGCCATTGCACTGATTAAATAAGATGATGCTTGTTTATTCTTTAATACATGGTGTGAAGTTTTATGTACAGTAATGTTGTATTCTAAGAAATTTAACGTAAATTATTTACTCACAGGTGTTGTTATATCATAATTTTCATTATTGATTTATCTTTATTTTTCTCGCATCTACGCGGCTTCTTTGATAAACTTGCCGCATTTTCTGTTTACGTGCTTTTCCTTAAAACTGCAGGGATTAGCAAGGGTTTCCCTGTCTTTTATAACGCTATTCTGGTTATCACGAGGAAAAGTGTTAACGCGAATATTTTAACTTAATGAGAAGGTACGTGCATTTTTGACTGTTGAGGGGCATGAGTACGCGGATTTATTTGCAGATGATGAATGGATATGTAAGTTGCCTTATCTTTCCGATATTTTCGTACACTTGAATGAGCTGAACAGAAAGATGCAAGGTAGGAACGAAAATAAACTAACTAATATAGATAAGATAAAAGGATGTGTAAATAAGCTGAATTTGTGGATACAGAGAATTACAGATGGGTCGTTTGAGATGTTTCCAACTGTATGGCCACTTGCTGATGGCAATAAAGTGGTGATGGACACAATTAAAGAACATTTAGAAATAGTGCAGCAGAAATTCCATAAGTATTTTGGAGAGAGTGTACAAGATTTCGACTGGGTTCGTGATCCATTTGTTGTGAATTCAGAACATCTTCCGATTAATATACAAGAGGAACTCACAGATTTAAAAGCACACAGAACACTGGAACTAAAACTTCTCGAAGTGCCTTTGGATACG